CCCAAACTGGCTCGTAAACCATAGTTTGCCCAAACTGGCTCGTAAACCATAGTTTGCCCAAACTGGCTCGTAAACCATAGTTTGCCCAAACTGGCTCGTAAACCATAGTTTGCCCAAACTGGCTCGTAAACCATAGTTTGCCCAAACTGGCTCGTAAACCATAGTTTTCCCAAACTGGCCCGTAAACCATAGTTTGCCCAAACTGGCTCGTAAACCATAGTTTGCCCAAACTGGCCCGTAAACCATAGTTTGCCCAAACTGGCTCGTAAACCATAGTTTGCCCAAACTGGCTCGTAAGTCGTAGTTTACCCACCCCTGGAATACAAGGACGACTGTAACTGAACAACATATGGTCATGCACCTAACTAAACATGGGCTGCACCCCAACAGTATGGGGCGCCGAGACCAAATTTGGCACTCTGGGGTTTCCAAAGATGCCGGATCGAATTCCTGCATTGGATTCGGCGAAGTCCAAACCCACTCCAAGTCTGAAACCCTTTATTTTCAGCAATAAATACCACCAGATACCATCAAATACCATTTTGGCCCGGGGAAATTTTGTCCAGTCCCCCTGCTCGCTACACAAACAGATAACAGTATGTAGTCATGGATGTTGCCCCCCCCCCAAACCCTCCACCCCCTCACCCCACTCGGGAGTATGGGCTACCAGTATAGGTGTAAAAATATCAATTAAATTGTCGAGTATAGGCACACACGTGTCTGTCACTATCTGTTCTAATGATGAAGAAATTATTATTATTTTTTTTTTACTTATCATTGTCATTAGAACTCTTGGCATGCAAGGGAGATAAGTTAGAACAGGTTGTTGGAATGATTGCATGGACGTAAATTGTCATTGGCTTGAGCTATGGACTTCCCCCCCCCCCCTAAAATATTTTTTTGTTTCGCCAACTTTTTATTTTGAGTAATTTATAAAAGATGCCTATTGTGTTGGAAGGTTCAAATTTACTTATCATTGTCATTAGAACTCTTGGCATGCAAGGGAGATAAGTTAGAACAGGTTGTTGGAATGATTGCATGGACG